GCCCAGGTAGGCCTCGTTCTGCACGGTCTCTTTGCGCGCGTTGAACTTCTTGCCCTTGTAGATGTACTCCCCACACGTCTTACATCTGTAGGGACAGGAGAGAGGAACTTGTGCGCCATCTCGGTGCCCTGGTTCCTAATGGTCGGATGCTTTGGAGTTTTGGCAGACGGCTGCTTGCATACCTCCAGGGACGGGGAGCTCCCTCCCACAAGGCAAGCTGCCTCGGATTCCCCTTTCCTGGAGTGCTCTTCTCACTATTATCTACCTGAGTCTCGGCCCCCGCGTCACCTTCTTGGGAAGCACCCAGATGAGGTGAGACTCGCCTGGCACACACTCCCGGAAGTAAGCTTGATGCTCATGGGGTATCCCGGCCTCCAGGGGGGACAATTCCTCCAGGAGCGAAGCCACACGGAGCCAGGCAGAGCTCCCGCCACGATGCCCTCCCTCAGCCCCTACCCCAGCCCCCGTGCTCCCCGGGCCAGCACGCCGGCCTCCTGGCCATTCCTACAAACATCCCCAGCTCGTCCCACCTCCGGGCCTTGGCCCTGCAGCTACCACGGCCTGGACACCCTCGTCCTTCAGACACCAGCTCGACCGGCCTGTCTTCTGACATTTCCTTGACCCAGCGAAGCACCCTCTCCCTTCCCAGCGGCCTCTCCAGTCACTGCCTCTCATGCCTGATCCCCAGGTCCGACATATGCCGCGCATGAAGGCACCTGAGCACTTGTTCATTATCTCCACCCGCCTCCAGGCTGTGGGCCCCACGGGTCCGGGACTTTGTCAGTCCTGACGCCCACAGTCCCTGGTGCCCGGCCTAGGCCCTAGCAGACAGCAGGTGCCTAATAAATGACTGCCAAATGAAGAAAAATGAACGAAGGGAGGGGAGAGAGAAAATAAACAGTCGACGGTGTGTAAATACACACTGAGTTTCACTGAACGAAGGTGTCTTTGATTACCAAGTGTATCTGACTTTAAACAAGCTGAGACATGAAAAATTGTGGGGCTTAGCATTGGGAAGATATGGTCATTCTGAAGTGGTATGAAGGGCAAGACCTGGGGTCGGGGTGGGTTTAGACAGGGGACCGAGAAGGCCTCTCTGAGGGGGTGAGGCCTAAGCCAGGATCTGAAGGATGAAGAAGAGCTGGCCGTGCGAGGACAGAAGGAAGAGTGTTCCAGGCAGAGGGAACAGCCTGTGCAAAGGTCCTGCGGTAGAAATGACTGTGGCTTTTGGAGGAGGTGAATGCAAGTGCAGGGCCCCATCTCTGTGCTCCCACTTTTACTACCAATGGTCAAGATCTTGAGCTGGCACCAGCTGGGAGCTCTGCGAGGTCAGGGTGGGGCTGGGGGTATTAATCCCGAACAGTGAGGAAAGGGAGATGTGGCCTGGTCACTCTGTCACTGGGTCGACGTCTGAGCCAGGACCAATGACCTGGTCTGAGCGCCAGGGATGGGCCGCTCTCTGCAGATGCTGGGCACCAGGACCGCCTGCCACGACAGGTGGGGGGCACTCACCTCATGTTGAAGGGGGCCATCAACCGCACCACGTACTGCCGGTCTTTGGGCAGCTTGAGCTTGGGGATCTTGGACGGGTCAAAGTCGGGAGGGTAGTATTTCTGTGGGGAGGAAGGAAGCGTCAGGGGAGCTGCTTACAGACACAGGGGTGGCCCGGGGCCGAGGGAAGGGGCCCTGGGGGCTGCGTCGGGTCCCCAAGACCACCCCCGGGGCTCGAGGTCTGAGACTCCGGCCATGCTCTCGGCTAGTACCCATTACAGTGGACGGACAGAGAAAAACCCGTGGAGGGAAAAGGCGCGTGGGGCGAAGCCCAGAGGAAACCAGGTGCGAGCTTCCAGAATCTTCTCCAACGGAGGCACCCAGGACGGCGTTCTGGGTTCCCCTGGCAGGCAGGTGCGGCAACGTGTGTGAAATGTCGCCACCCAGAGAAGCTCGCAGAGACCGGGCATCCAGGATTTCCGTCGGGAGCTGGCCACGCAGACGCCCATGCCCAGGGTGGACCAGGACTCCAGACTCCAGGCAGAGAGCAGGGCTCAGTGTAAACCACGTGCTGGCCCGGGGAGCCATTCTTATCAGGGAACAGGGGTGACCACCCTGACGTTCCAGGTCCCCTATGCCAGCCAAGGGCCAGCCTTGCAAGGCGGCCCTCCTGAGGACGGCAGCCTCAGGCCTGCTGCATCAACTTTGGGCCTCAGTTTCCCCATCTGAGGGATGGGTAACCCGTCCACCCACGAGGACTGGATGAGCACGGCCCTTAGCCCAGGTCCCGGCACACGGAAGTCTCTACTGGTACGTTATGGAAATAGATGGCTCCCGGCGGGCTCCTCAGGGTGGAAGGGGTTTCACGGACACTGCACTGGAATGCGAGGAGGCTGGGGCCGGATTCCCGACACACGTGTTTTTAAAAGAGGGACTGAGCCACAGGAAGGGGCGTCCAGCGTGACCTCCCAACCCTGGACTCCTGGCCATCAGTCCTGAGGTCTATTCTCTCTCTGTCCTGACATCCTGGACTTGCACACTCCAAGGACGGGGAGCTCACCCCCTTTCTGGGAGCTCATACCCTCCTGAGAGGTGGGGACAGGGACTCAGAATTCAGGAGCTCTCTTTCCCAGAGGCCAAATCCTGCCTTCCGAGACCCCCCTCTACCCCTGAAGCATCCTGGATTTCCCCCAACGGAGCAAGGAGGAGAAGTTGAGGCAACTGGGAGGGTCCCCTGCCGCAGAGCAGAAGAGCTCAGCAAAGTCTAATCCGTCTCTGGAACGCGATTGGCTGAGGAATCTGGCATGGGCGGGGCCTAACCGAGCCCCGCCCCCGAAGGCCATGGAGTAGAGCGGGAATACCGCTATGACTAAGGAAGCCCCGCCCCGAGGGACGTGATTGGATAATATCCTTCGGAAAACCCAATGAGGGGAAGTGATTGGCTAAATAGCCAAAGCTCCGCCCCTCACAAGTGATTGGATACGAGGGGAAGCCGTAGCGAAGGCCCACCCGCCGTGGAAGGTGATTGGGAGGAGTTTGAGTAGCCCCACCCCGCGGAAGGCCGTTGGGAAGAAGAACAAGGTTTCAACAGGAGAGCAGAGGAAGCCACCTCGGCCGGAGCTCCGAGATGTCGCGCCCCGGGTAGAAGGTCCCAGTCGCCCATCACTTACGTTTAAAACCTTCCGCTCCGACATCTTTGCCTCCTACTCTTCTCACAAGCACAAGACGACCGCTTAGGCTTGGTGTTTACCGAACTTCCCCGTCCGTCCCCTGCACTTCCGCTTACGTCACTTCCTCCGCCTCTATTATTGGCTGCAGTGCACACAGCTTGTCTTTTTCATTGGCTCCGATTCCCGTCTGTCAAGATCCACCTCCCTACTAGCTCCCCTTCGGCGTTGCAACCTCGGTGGTACGCGACGATGGTTCCGGGAGCCGGCTGGGCTTGGAGAAGCTCCGAGGAGGCGCTGCGCCCCCTAGAGGTCGGCGGCGGCTGGTTAAAATTTCGTGGGGACACGACGTGGCTGCCGGTGGCGACAGTCCCTGATGTTCATTCCATTATCCAGCAAATAAAGCGCTGAGCGTTGAGCGCGTCCCCTGTGTGCTGATCTCTGGGAATCCACGCCTCGTTCTGTGTCCCTAGCGTCCACGTGGGGGGATTAGGGGGGACAGTTCCCACGGGCGACAGACACGTGTCCACTCAGGAGCCCCCTGGACGCCCCATCCCAGGTTCCCCCTGAGTCACAGGCAGAGATTCGAAGATCAGGCTGCAAACCCACACGCCGGCTCCCAAATGTCCCCCCACTGCCCACCCGCCTCGACCCTATAAAGAGGAGGTCCCCCCCAATCCCTTCCGCAGCCGCCTCCCCGCCTCTCTAGACCTTAATTCTGTGTCAGACACGTGCTCATCGCTGGGGACACATCAGAGACCGAGGCAGAAGACTCCTGCCCTCACCGGGATCCCGGTCTGTCTGGCGGGACAGACGGACAACAAACACACAGAAAGGACCCTTTTGGGGTCTGGCAAAGGATCGCAAGACAAGAAAATGGGGCCACGTAGGGACAGTGATGGGAAGGCGGTGGCGTGTGAGTTTCCGATCGGCTGCTGCAACAAATGACCACAAATTCAGCGCCTTAAGACAACACATATTTATTATCCTCTAGTTCTGGGGGTCAGAGGGCTAACATGAGTGTGCAGGGCTGGCCCCTTCTGCAGGATCCCGGGCGGGGAATCCATTTGCTCGATTTTTCCAGCCCCCAGAGGCCCCTGCGATACTTGGCTTGTGGCCTCGCATCACTCTGGCGTCAGCTTCCACGGTCACATACCCTTCCCTCTCTCCCTCTCACCCTCCCGCCTCCCCCTTGTAAGGACCGCAGGAATGATCTTGGGGCCACTTGAATGATTCAAGGTGAGCCTCCTTGATGTTTATCAACTTAAAGATCATTCCTCTTCAAGGAGCCTCATGATTCTTAATTTCATCACATCCGCAAAGTCCCTTTTGCTGGGTGAGGCACCCTATTCCCAGGTTCTGGGGGTTTAGGACGTGGACATCTTGGGGGGCCTGTTATTCCGCCTGCCATGGAGGAGGGGTCAGGGAAGGCTTCTCGGAGGAGGTGACTGTTGCGTTGAGACCTGAGCGAAATCCACACACAAGCCCATGGATTCTCTCTGACCTCCAGGGCCTGGCTGCTTTGCCCCCTCCTCAGAGAAATCTTCCCAGACAAACTCATGTCCCGTTTGTGTCCACCCACAGTGGGACTCACATCGGGGCAGCTTCGGAGGAGCGTGGGTGAGCCAGTCTGCTGAACTGAAGGGATCCCACTGTCCCATCCCTGGCAGGACCCCCGCCCCCCCAACCCCAACTCCCCCAGCCCCGGTCTCTTCCTCTGGTCCAGCCCTGACCCATCCAACGGAGTGAGGCTTCCCTGTCTATTTGTCGTGCTGTATCCTCTCCTCTCAGGAAGGGAGGAAGCGTCTTGACCCCAATGACAATGATCCTTTTCTAATGAAACAATAAAAAATATCTCACATTCACAGTTCGCAAAGCTGGCACTGTAGTCTAAGGAGGGGAACATCCCCATTTCACACATTGAGAAACTGAGGCTCAGAGAGGCAAAGTCACTTGTCCAAGGCCGCCCAGCAACTCGGCAGCAGCAAACCCAGGCCAGTCGGGTCCCATCCACCCTTGAGTGGCAGCAGTGGGGGGAGGATGTCAAGGACCCAGCCCCCTCTTTGGTGGGGGGGGGCTGGGCAGACCCCACTACTTGCCCGGGGTCACAGAGGCCGTGGCGGGGTCACAGAGGCCGTGGCGGGGTCACAGAGGCCGTGGCGGGAAGACTCCAGTCGCTCAAGTCCCCATAGTCGGTGAGGTCCTGAGCAGCCACCTGGATGCAGTACCTGGCTTTGGGCCTCACAGCCCGGAGGGTGAAGGATGTGGCTTCGATGGGCCCCACCTGAGAGCAGACAGAGGACCGGGTCAGCGGGGACCAGGAGGCCGGGAGGGGCTGCCATGCGCAGCCCCCTCCACGTCAGGTTCCCCCTGATCCCCGCCTGTGTGGCCTTCCCTGCTTGGCCCCGGAGCCGCCTCCTCCAGGAGTCCTTCCTGGACCACACCAGCCCCTTGGGATGTCTCAGCGGTGAGCCGCCACTCACCAGGACTGCCATCGCCAACAGCCCCGTCCCGACTCTGGACCCCCGACCACCCCCTTTTCCACGTCCCCCACTCAGGGCCTCTCTCCGGGCCCTAGATCATCGCAGGGCCAGGCACCCACAACCAGGGACCACTCCCGTAGCCCGGAGGCCATTCACCCTGCCCCCGCCTTTCCCACGGAAACGCCCGCCTCCCACCCTGCTTCTCCTCCACCGGGCCCTCTTTTCCTTCCAGGTCCCCATCCTCCTCAGGATGTCCCAGTCCAGCCCCCACAGGCAGCGCCCTAACCCCAGGTCTCAGTAGCTCCCTTCCCTGCTCCACCGCGCTGTCCCCATAGCAGCCGGACGTGGCTCTTGAAGTTTCAAATTTAGATGAATTAATCGTTGCACAGCTTTGCAACACACTCTCACGCCCTTTAAAACGGTGCGTTTTCTGGCCTGCGAGTTCTATCTCAATTTAACAATTGCAATTTTTTTTAAATTAAGGAACACTAAATAAAATTTGAAAACCAATTCATCGGCCGCCTGCCACATTGCAATCGCTGGGCAGTCACGCTTGGCCAGTGGCTACCATTTTGGACATGCGGATGCAGAATATTTCCGCTGTCGCAGAAAGTTCTAGAGACGGGCTGCAGAAGGCTAAACTCTGCAGACTCGGCTCTTCATCCCGGCATCTGAGGCTGCCCGGGACACAGCTGACTTTCCCAGACGCTCCCTGGCTCCCTAACTTTATTGTTTCTTTTTTTTAAGAATTTTAAAGAATATATGTTGTTTTCAATCGAGGCAAAATTCACATCGCATAAAATTAACCATTCTGAAGTGGACAATTCAATGGCAGTTAGGGTATTCCCAATGTCTACCTAGTTCTAGAACATTCCATCACCCCAGAAGAAGCCCTGTGTGTCCCCATCAGCGGTCACCCCCACCCCATCCCAGCCCCTGCACCCACGAGCCCGCTCTGTGTCTGTGGATCGGCCTGTTCTGGACGTTTCACGTCCATGGGGTCACACGCCGTGTGTCCTTCTGTGTCTGCTTCTCTCCCTGAGCGTCATGTGTGCAGGTCCGTCCGCGTGCGGCTGTGTCAGGGCCTTGCTCCTTTTCACAGCTGTGTAATATTCCAATGTGTGGCTGGACCATGTTGTGTTTATCTATTCCCCTGTGGATGGACACTTGGGTGGTTTCCACCCTTCGGCTGCTGTGAGCCATGCTGCTGTGGCCACACGTGCACAGGCATTTGTCTGAGTCCCTGTTTCCAATTCCCCAGGAGTGGCATTGCCAGCTGCCTTTACGTTGCACGCGAGCAACCGGAAGCTGCATTCGAAGCCCCAGAACACTTCTGCACACGCTGTTCCCTCTGCCGGGAACCGCGCTCTCCGGCCTCCCCTCGTCCCGCTCACCTGGCGGAAGCGGGCGGACCCGTGACGCTTGTAGCGGATTCGGTACTTGAGGGAGAAGATCTCCGGGAGGGGCCAGGACTGGGGAGGCTCCCACTGCACCCACAGCCGCTGCCCGGGGAGGGGGCTCAGGCGCACGCCTCTCGGAGGGTCTGGTTTGACTGATGGACAAGCAGGGGGCAGGATCAGCGGACAGCAGGCTCATTCATTCATTCATTCATTCATTCAACAACCAACAAATATTACAGAGAGTATTCTGAGTGTTCACCAATGTCCTGCACCCTGGGACGCAGCAGTGACCGATACGACCCAACCCCCGTCCTCTAGGAGCTCAGTTCATCCAGGCATCAGACAAGACACAAGAAGCAAAGCGGGAGGTCACAAACAGTGGGGGAAAGTTCGAGAGTGCAAGGAGGGGAGTGGGTCGCAGTGTTTTTCTGTTATAATTCACATGCCACAAGGTCATCCTTTCAAAATGGACAGTTCAGTGGTTTTTGGTAAATTCACAGGGTTGTGCAACCATTACCACTGTTTAATCCAGAACATTCCATCCCCCAAAACGAAACCCCATCCCCATCAGCAGTCACCCCCACCCCTCCCCAGCCCCTGGCCCCCATGAGCCCGCTCTCTGTCTGTGGATCTGCCTGTTCTGGACGTTTCGCGTCCATGGGGTCACACGCCGTGTGTCCTTCTGTGTCTGCTTCTCTCCCTGAGCGTCGTGTGTGCAGGTCTGTCCATGTGTGGCTGTGTCAGGGCCTCGCTCCTTTTCACGGCTGCGTAATATTCCAGCATGTGGCTGGACCACGCTGTGTGGACCCATCACCCACTGATGGGCATTTGGTTGTTTCCACATTTTGGTTACCGTGAATAACGTTGCTATGAACATTCGTGTAACCATTTTTGTGGACATGCTGTCATCTCTCTTAGGCACATACCCGGAAATGGAATTGCTGGGTTATATGATGACTTGTGTTTAACTCATGGACTGCCACACTGTTTTTTTAGCAACCACCAGCAACATATGAGGGTTTGGAATTTTCACTAATGTGTGTGGGGAGGCCTCACTGAGGAGAAGCTATCAGAGGAGAGAAGTGAAGGAGGTGAGGGAGCAACTCAGACGGAGATTTGGGAGAATAGCATCCCAGGCAGAGGGCACAGCCCATACAAAGGCCCTGGGGTAGGCCTGGGCCTGGCGTGTGGGAGGAAAAGTGAGGAGGCCCGAGTGGCTGGAGCAGAGGGAGGAGGGGGAGAGAGGGAGGAGGGAGGGCGGGGAGGGGATGAGGCAGGTCATGCGGGGCCTGGGGGGCGCGGGGAGGACTCAGCTTCTCCCCCAAGGAAGGGGGAGCCTGGAGGGCTGCAGGCAGAGGAGGGCAGGACCGACTCAGGGGCTCCCCGGCGCCCTCTGGTGGCCGCTTCAGGGAGGACAGACTGTGGGGGCCAGGGCAGGAGCTGGGGACCACGGGTGGAGGTGATGACGGGGCTGGACCAAGTGGGGACTCAACAGGATCCAGGACGGATGGACAGGCCTGGGTGACAGGTAGGAGGTGGGGGCGGTGAGAGAGAGAGGCAGGAGCAGGAACAAGCTGGTGGCCCTCCGCCCCCACCCCCAGCGCCCCACTCACTGATGTGCTCCGGGACAAAGGGCACAAAGCTGCTGCTGACGCCCCAGGGGTGGACGGCCGTGACGTTGAGCACGTAGGACACCATGGAGAACATCTGGATGTCCGGGACGGTGCAGCTGGTGGCCTCTGGCGTGGGCTGCAGGCAGGGCCGGCTCTCCCCGTGGGCGGCCACACCGAGCCTAGACACGGGGTGGGCGCTGTGAGGGCCTGCGCCCTGGACCCCGAGTGGGGACAGCAGCCAAAAAGCCGCTGGCCGGGGTCCTGCTCGTGGCTCTGTGACCCTGGGGGAGGCGCTTGCCCCCACATGACAGAGCCTGGAGGACCAGAGTCGGGGGTAACGCATCACGGGAGATGCCAGGGCTCCAGAGGCTAAAGTTTCTGGAATGGCAGCATTCCAGCCTTAGACTTCCAACATTCACGGACTCTGGAATCTGGAATAATGGGACTCTAATTTTCTCCATTTCTGAGGCCCCGAGATTTCTGACTTTAGAGAGTCGAGCTCAGCACCATCCACAGAAACTTTCCACGACCATCAAAACATTGTTTCTGCGTTGGATGTAGCAGCTGCCCGCTGCGTGTGGCTCTCGGGCCCTTGAAACGTGGCTCGTGCAACTGAGCATGACTTTTGCACTTAATTTATTTTATCCAACCTAAATGTCACCTTTCTGGCTATCAGAAAACTTGGATAAATTCTCCAGAGCAAATCGATTGTGCGGATCTATTTCTCCAACCTTAAATTTTAGGAAATCTAATCAGAGACCGAGTTTCCGGGCGAAAGCGTAGCGTCTGAATTGAAATGTGCCACATGAGTAAAACACATAGGGAATTTCGAAGACTTAGTATAAAAAGAGAGACTGTAAGCTAGCTCATTAATTTTTAAAATATTGATGACATGTGGACGTGATAACAGTTTAGATATTCAGATTCAATGATAGTAACTCCTATTATAAATTTAAATATAGAAATCGTAGATAAGCATGGGAAGTTACATTACACTCAGTCGTACTCAAGGATAAATATTTGGGATAGGTAGATGTTTAAATAAAATATTAAAATGAACGTCACCCATTTCTTTTCACTTTTTTAACGTGGCTTCTAGAAAGTTCTAAACAACTCACATGGCATGCAGTATGTATTTTAGGAAGTGTGTTTCTACTGGACGGCACCGCTCTAGACCTCTGAGGGTTTCGGTTCATGCTGAGTCTGCGGGTGTCCTGATTCTAGGGGGTCGGCCAGAGTGTGGGGTCCCCAGGAAGCCCCCCAGCTCTCTGACCTGTACGTGGCAATGAACGACGTGGGCGTGGTGGAGTTTGCAGCAGGTGGCAGCGTCCAGGAGCAATCCACGGCGATGGGGTACCTAGAAGCCCAGCAACGCACCCTGGGCTGGCCCGGAGCTGCCCGATCCCGAGGAGGGGAAGAGGCAGGATGGTGAGTTTCTGATTTACCCCAGATTGCAACGCCCTACTGTGTGCTTGCCCCCGCCCGGCTGCCAGCCAAGGCCGGGCACACAGTAGGTGCCTAATAAAGGTTTGTGGAATGAATGAAAGGCACCTCCATTGTCTCTCACCCCCACTACAACCCACCAAGGCAGGACTCTGAGCCCATCTCCAGGTGGGGAAACTGAGGCTTAAGGAAACAAGGAGGGGACCTGGGGGGCGGGGGACCCCGGTGGGAGGGAGGTATTTTATTGTGTCTCCTCTTTGCAATAGTTTTGTTTTGAAGCACGTGAAATGAATGCATGCAATTAAAATTTCTTTCTACCCATCATCTATCTATCTATCATCTGTGTCTATCATCTATCTGTTTATCTATCCACACATCCATCTCCCTGTCTATCATCCTTCTATCTTTCCAAGCTGTGGCTTCCTGGTGTCACTGGGGGCAGGCCTCTTTCTCTCTGGGCCTCAGTTTCCCCATCCATGCAATGCAATGGTAACCCACTCCCACCCATGGGCATACAGTAGGTGTGTGAGCTCCCACCCTGCTCGAGAATGCTCCCTGGCAGACAAAGTCCAGTCCCCAGATAATGTCCCTCTGCCCAGGCCCCCCAGCCCCCGGGGGCCCCACACACCTTCTGTCCCACGGCAGAGCGAGCAGCCGGCCCAAAGGGCGAGGGCCAGGAGAAGTCTCAGGGCCATGGCTCCGGCGGACTGTGTCCTCAGAGACTCTCGAGGTTCAGGCAGGGGACTCAGGACCTGCCTCGGGGGAAGCCCAGCCACTGGTCAAGGCCCCCCACGTCCCCTCCCCGGGTCTGACTCACTGGTGGAGCAGCCCCCGGTCCCTTTGCCGGCCACCCCCCCGGCGCAGGCGTGGAAGGCCCCGAGGGTGGGGGCGGGGAGAGGAGGCCACGAAAGAGAGAAGTGGGGACCCCGTGGCCTTTCCCAGAACAGCCTGTCCGTCAGTCCTTCCTTCCGGCTGCAGCGAGGAGGGGAAACCCCGGGGAGGGGGACGATGACATAGAGAAAGAGAAGGGGACAGCCAGCAGTGGGACCTAGAGAGACAGAGACGGAGAGAGACAGGGAGAGAGAGAGACAGATATAGATGTAGAGAGAGATACAATAGAGAGACAGACATAGAGAGAGACAGGAAGAGATAGAGAGACAGTGAGATAGAGATATAGAGAGACAGAGAGACAGGGAGAGACGGAGAGAGACAAATAGACAGGGAGAGAGAGAGAGAGACAGAGACAGAGACAAGAGAGAGACAGAGATAGAGACAGGGAGAGAGAGATGAGAGATGGAGAGACAGATGGACAAAGAGGGAGGGGTAGAGACCGAGACCCAGAGACAGAGAAATAAAGGGACCAGAGATATGCAGGCACGACCACACAGCCGCCCGGTCACTCACCGGCCGCAGCGACGGGGACCCACCCTGGCCAGCCGCCCTCCACACTCCAAGCCCTGCCAGGTCGTGTGCCAGTCCTGGACGCCCAAGGAAACCCCCAGGGACGGGCTGGACGGGCGGGGGGATCACGGCGTGCTCCCCTCCCCCCGGAGCCGGGAAGAGCCCGGAACTGCCAGGGGATTTTGGGGGATTCGCCCAGGGGCTGGCCGGGCTCAAGGGGAGAAATGAGGCAGCCTCGCGTGCATGCTCGCTTGGATCCCGTCTTCCCTGGATGCTGGGATTTCCTGCGCATCAGGAACTTTCTGGCGCCCACTTTGGCTTGGTAAATATCTGCATTAACACGGTCTTCGTCTTGGAGACAGGGCTCTGGGCTCTGCAGGTGCGTACCTCAGTCTCCCCACCCTAGTCCCTAATCCCCGTGCCGGGCCACCCCCGCCCCTCCTGGCAGTGGGACACACGCGCATTCTGTGCTCCTTGAGCTTTTATTGCTGTCATTCCTGGGGTGGCGTCCGGCGATCAGACGTGGGAGGGGGCCTCACAGCTTCTCCGGTGGGGGCAGGGGCGCACGGTCAGGGCCAGGGTCTAGGCTGACCCGTGCGGGCAGGGCCCAGTGGGGTGGAGGAGACGGCCGGGACAGTCAGGAAGGGGCCCAGGCTGGTCTCCCAGGGCAGAGGGTCCTTGTGTGACGCCCCGTGCGGGGCCTGGCGGGCGGGGCGGGGCCGTCAGAGCTCTGAGGCTCAGCGGCCCTGAGCCTGAAGCCGCTGCATCTGTAGGATCTGACTCAGAATCCGCTGCACATCTGCGTCCATCTGACCCTGGGGTGCGGGGAGCAGAGAGAGAGAGCCTGTCCGGTCCTGTTCCGGCTTCTCCATTCCCCGCCCTCCCCACCGGGAGGCCACGAATCTCCCCCCACCGAGCCCAGCCTCCCACTGCACAGATGGGGAAACTGAGGCCCAGAGAGCAGCTGTGGTATGCCCGGAGCTGGGAGTGACTCACCTGAATGGCGTACAGGAGGTGGCTCCTATACAAAGCCACCACGGCACTGTGGCCCCTGGCAGCCTCCTGTGGGGAGAGGGGCGTGCTCAGAAAAGCAGGACCCCCCCCAAGACACCTTTGCACCCCGAGCCCCTATTTTGATGGCACGCACCAGCGCGACGATGCCGGTTGCTAAAATATTGCAATATTTCCCTTCCATGCCTGGCACGCGTCCCCCAGGCCCCTGCCTGCCTGTCACTCCTCTGGGGTCCCCGTCCCTGTGCCCCACGAAGCTCTCACCTCCAGCTGCTGCTGCAGACCCTTCACCTGGGCACGGAGGGCCTCCACCTCCGGGGTGCCCGGGGCTGCCGGCTGCTCCTTCAGCGCCTCCTTCAGACTGAACACTTCCTTGGAGAGCTCTGTGATCTGCGGTGGGGGCGAAGGAATGTCAGCAGGGCTGGGGACCTCTCCACGGTGGCGGCAGCAGCAGCAGCCACGTGCCAGGGGCCGAGGCCGAGGGACAGAGGTTTGCAAGGAAACTCACATCTCTGAGGCTCGCCAACTGGGGCTGAGAATGGTTTTCACATTTTTAAAAGGTGTGGGGGTGGGGGTGGGGGAGTCAAAAGTCGAATGACATCTTGGGACAGGTGGAAATTAAGTTAAATTCACATTTCTGTCTTTGAACATAACATTTGGTTGGCGCCCGGCCACGCCCACTCATTTACATATCACCTAGGGGCCGCGTTCAGAACTTATTTACATGCCTGGCCACGCCCGCTCATTTGCATGCATGGCCATGCCCGCTTTTAGAGCTGAGCACAGGCAGTCTGCCCCGCAGGGCCGAAAACGCCCATTTATTTACATGCCTGGCCACGCCCGCTCATTTACATGCCTGGCCACGCCCGCTTATTTGCATACATGGCCACGCCTGCTTTCAGCGCTGAGCACAGGCAGTCTGCCCTGCAGGGCCGAAAACGCCCACTTATTTACATGTCTGGCCACACCCCCGTTCATTTACATGCATGGCCACGCCCACTCATTTGCATGCCTGGCCACGCCCGCTTTTAGCGCTGAGCGCAGACCGTCTGCCCCGCAGGGCCGAAAACGCCGCCTGGCCGACCCTTTACAGAGAAAGCAGGTGGGTGCTGTGACATCCCCCTCTTGGAGTCCCTGGAAAGTGGAGGCTGACGGGACAGGAGGGCTGAAAGCAGCCCCGGGGGGCTCAGACAGCCCTGGGATTCTGTCCGTCTGGATCCCCCCTTTCTTGCAGGAGATCCTGGGAAGATCACCTAACCTCTCTGGGCCTCAGTTTCCTGATCTGTCAAGTAGGGAGCAACACAGTCCTCACCTCAGTTGGTTACTGTGACTCTGAACAGAGATTCAGTTCAAACTGTGCCTGGCAGACAGCAGGCACTCAATAAATGCTGAGCTTTGTTATTATTACTAGAGATCGGAGGTTCTGAGCCAGGAGCCGTTCTGCTCCCCGCCCCCCCAGGGGACACCAGGCGAAATCTGGAGATGTCTGTGGCTGTCACACTGGGGGAGATCCTGGCGTCAAGTGGGTGGTGGTCAGGAATGCTGCTCAACCCCCCACAGTGCCCAGGGCAGCCCCCTAGAGAATGACCCGACCCCAATGTCAGCAGTGCCAGAGGGAGGAACCCTGCTACAAATAAACCATAATCTCTACCACAATTGCATTTTCATTTTACAGAGGTGGAAACTGGGGCTCAGAGAGGTCAAGTGACTTGTCCAAGGTCACACAGGAGCCAGGGCTGGGTGACTTAGAGCTAACACAGCCGGGACTCCGGGGGTCACATCCATTGTCCAGTGACATGCTGGGTGACTTTGAGCCACTCACTTTGCCTCTCAGGGTCTCGGTTTGCCCATCCGGAAGATGGGGATAAGAATGCTTTCTGGCTCTTAGGGTTGCTGGGAGATTAAAAGGGACAAGATGTGAAAAACACTCCACTCAATAAGCAGAGGCTGCTGTGAATCACCATCATTACTATTTAAGGACAGAACTTGGGAACTGGCTGAACCATTGCATGGCTGTGTGACCTTGGGCAAGTGGCTTCACTTCTCTGTGCCTCAGTTTCCTCAAATGGGGATAAAAAAAGATAAGTGTTAATTTGTGTTAAAGGCACTGCCCGGGGCCTGGCATGCAGTAGACACTCAATAAACGTCACTGGGGTTATAATTAGTATTTGGAAGAGTAGCCTGGGTGTGACTTGTCTCCTTCCTTCTCTGTGCCTCAGTTTCCCATCTGGAAAATGCACTGATTTCCCAAGACCCTTTCCATTGGGAACTCTTGGATTCTCCCCAACCTCTGCTGAGTGAGGGCCCCCAGATGGAGTGCAGGAAAAGTGGACCCACCTTCTTGTCCTTCTCCTTGGCCCTGTCTAGAGCCTCCTGGGCACGGCTCTGGGCCTGGCGTGCCTGCTCCGCCTCGGTCCGGAGCCCCCGCAGCTGCTGCTCTGCCACAGCCAGCTGGGCCTCGGCCGCGTGCCGCTCGCTCTTCATGAACAGGGCCTCCCGCTGGACCTGTGGCCCAAGCCCACGTGTGACCCTGAGGACATTAGGACTTCAAAGACACCTGCTGACCCTCTATTTTGACGTAAGGACATTCAAACCCATTTTGACCTCAAGGAGTTTGATTTGGAGGAACTTCTGGATTCCCCTGGACACTGTGAATATTCTGACTCTGCCAAGTACCTCTGACCTGCTAGCTGTGTGACCTTAGACAAGTGACTTAACCTCTCTGGCCTCAGTTTCCTCATATGTAAAATAGCCCCTGCTTCACAGGGTGGTTGTGAGGATAAGATGAGCAGATACATGGAATATGCTTAGAATAGTGCCTGCTGACACGGTAAGAGCTATATTTGAGATGGTGATATTATTATTATTATTTATTATTATCATCATCATCACTAGTGTTCTTTTCTCTGCCAGTGGTGTGAAAGTTCATAGATTTCTTACACAATGAAAGAAAAACAGAAGAATTTGGATGAAAAGCAAACAAATGTCCAAATGTTGATGACTGCATTTTTCACAAAAATACCAAGATCACAGCAATGTTAGATCTGCAAAAATGGATCCCTGGGGGAACACTGGCCTTTATAGAAATAATAGCTTCAGGAAAAAATGGATAATAATAATAATTAGATATTCCATTAGGACAGATTGGCTACAATTTAACACTCTAGGAAGTAGACTAAGGGTTTATCTGGTTTGAAAGAGCGTGTTCTTGGAAAAAGAGTAATCCAGCTGCCATTTATTGATCACTTGTACCATCACTGCCGTAAGTAATTTATGTAAATTAGACCAGTTAATTTTCATGGGAGGATTAGAAACTATAATTATCAACATCATCCGGGTGAGTAAACAGGAGCTCAGAGAGAAAAATGCTTTCCTGACAACAAGTACATTATAGAAGTCACAGAGGTACTTCCTTATTCATATATCTGTTAAAACAGCTGCCAGGTTTGGAGGGATTTTGGTTTTTAAGAAAAAAAAATAGACTCAAAAAGTCCAGTATCAGGCCCTAATATATCACCTTACACCCGTTAGAATGGCAAAAATATCCAAAACCAAGAGTGACAAATGTTGGAGAGGCTGTGGAGAAAAAGGAACCCTCATACACTGTTGGTGGGAATGCAAACTGGTGCAGCCACTATGGAAAACAGTATGGAGATTTCTCAAAAAGTTAAAAATAGAAATACCCTATGACCCAGCCATCCCACTACTGGGTATCTATCCTAAGAACCTGAAATCAGCAATTCCAAAAGTCCCATGCACCCCTATGTTCATTCCAGCATTATTCACAATAGCCAAGATGTGGAACCAACCTAAGTGCCCAGCAACTGATGATTGGATAAAGAAGATGTGGTATATATACACAATGGAATACTACTCAGCCATAAAAAAGGACAAAATCGTCCCATTCGCATCAACATGGATGGACCTTGAGGGTATTATGTTAAGTGAAATAGGCCAGACAGAGAAAGACAAACTCTATATGACTCCACTCATAGGTGGAAGTTAACATATACACAAGAACTGATTTTTTTGATGATATTTTTTGAATGATATTTTTGCCATTCTAAGGGGTGTAAGGTGATATATTAGGGCCTGATACTGGACAAGGAGAACTGATCGGTGGTTACCAGGGAAAAGCGGGGCGGTGAGGGGGGCACAAAGGGGGAAGTGGTGTACCTACAACACGACTAACAATAATGTACAACTGAAATTTCACAAGGTTGTAAACTATCATAATCTTAATAAAAAAAAAAAAGTCCAGTATCAGGGACAAAAAAATATCACCTGGGTTTAAAAAAAGCCAAAAACTGGGGCTGGCCCGGTGGCACAGCGGTTAAGTGAGCACGTTCTGCTTCGGTGGCCCAGGGTTCATGGGTTCAGATCCCAGGTATGGACACAGCACCGCTTGGCACACCATGCTGTGGTAGGCGTCCCACATATAAAGTAGAGAAAGATAGGCATGGATGTGAGCTCAGGGCCAGTCTTCCTCAGCAAAAAGAAGAGGCGGATTGGCAGCAGCTGTTAGGTCAGAGCTAATCTTCCTCAGAAAAAGAAAAGAAAAGAAAAGAAAAGAAAATACAAGTCAAAACAGCCAGGAGGTCAGAATGGCTGCAGGTCAAAGGGCCACCTGGACACAGTGGCAGGGTCAAGCGTCTGTAGGATTGAAACGGATGGAGGGGAAACATGCCACAGTTGTGGGGACAGAACGCCACCGAGTGGCCGCTGGGGGGGCCGGGTGGGCTGCAGCCATGCTCACCTGGAAGACCTCAGCGCTGGTCTTCTCGTGGCGGCGGCCCAGCTCCTCCAGCTGCCCCTCCAGCCGGGCCACGTCGGCCTGCAGCGCGCCCACCACGCGATCGTGGTCCAAGCGGGCCACGCTGCCCATGCGCTCCCGCTCCAGCTCCGCCCGCAGCCGGGCAGCCTCCTTGCCCGTGGCCACCACCTCCTGCTCCAGGCTGGCCGCCCGGCTGCGCAGCTCCAGGGCCTCCTCCTGCAGCCGGTGGTGCTCGGAGGCCGGCACAGCCGACTGGCGCAGGGCCTCCGAGGCCTCGTGCAGCTCCGCCAGGCCCCGCCGGGCCTCCTCGCAGGCCGCGGCCAGCTCCGCGGCCCGGGCCTCAGCCTCATCCCGCGCTCGGCCCAGCTCGGCGGCCGCTGCCCGCTGCTGCTCACCGGCAGCCGTGGCAGTGGCCAGCTGCTTCCGCAGCGCCTCCAGCTCCCGGCTCTGCTCCAGCCTCACCTCCTCCCGCTGGGCCAGCTCGGCCCGCAGCCCCCGGGCCTCCTCCTCGGCCAGCAGCCGGCCGGCCCGGGCCTCATCCAGCCAGGCCGCGGTGGCCTCCAGCTCCCGGAGGCGGGAGTCACGGGCTCGGAGGTCCTCCCGGGCCTGCTCCAAGGCTGCCCGCAGCTGGACCGTGTCGCTGCTTCTGGCCACGCCGACCCCACCACCCTCAGCCTCGCGCACCTGCTCACGCAGCCGGCCCGCCTCGGCCTCCGCGGCCTCGCACTTGTCACGGGCGGCCTCCAGCTCGGTGGCGGCCTCCCGCTCCCGCTGCCGGAGTGCCTCCTCCAAGGCGCGAATCCTGGTCTCCAGCTCGGCCTGGAGCTTTTCTGAGGCCTCAGCAGCCCCCGGGTGTAGGACAGAGCCCGCGGCCTCCGCTCCCATGGCCTCTGGATCCGTGGCCTCCACTCCCGTGGCCTCCATGTCTGTGGTCTCCGTGCCCATGAGCTCTGCCTCCACAGCACCCACTTCACCGGGCTTCATTTTTGCTTCCTCTGCTTTCGTGGTTGCGGCCTCGACTCCAGTGGCTTTTGTTTCTGGGTTTCCTCCTCCTTCTAGAGCGTTCATTTCTGTGACCTCAGCCTCCATGGCCTTGATTTCCAAGCTCTCAGCTCCCACGTCCTCTGTTCCTGTGGCCTCGACATCTGTGGCTTTTGTTTCTGTGGCCTTGGCCCCCGTGGGTGTTGCTTCGGTGGTTTCGACTCCCGCAGCCTCCTCCTCTGTGCTCTCAGGTCCGTTAACCTTGGTTTCTGGAGCCACGGTCCCATTAAGCTGTGTTTCCGTTGGCCCATTTCTGGTGGTCTTGGCTCCCAGGCCCTCGCCCTCCCCGGGGGCCGCATCCTCTTCTCCAGGGGCCTCCTGCGCCCCCTGCTCCTCCAGAGCCCGCAGGGCCTCGGCGTGCTGCCTGCGGAGCTGGTCCAACTCAGCCCGGAGAGAGTCATAGAGGGCCAGAGGGATGACCTCGGCCGAACCATTCGCATCCATCTCATCTTTCTCGAAGTTCTCCAGGATCTGGTGGCGGGGTGGGGAGGGGGGAGTCAGGCGAGAGCTGATGTGACCATGAGGGGAGCCACTTTCCCCGCCCACAGACTCAGCCACGTACTCACCAGAACCCCCAGGTAACAATCCCTCGGGTCCTCAGAGCTGTCCCCACCCCACTCTCTCAGGCCTCAGTTTGCCCACCTGGACCTTCTCCATCAGCTCCTGGTTCTGTCTCCTGAGGGCGGCCACCTGCTCCTGAAGCGAGGCCAAGAGCTCCTGGGCTGACGGGCTTAGCCGCTTGGAGAGCAGGGCCTCGGCCCCTGATGGGGGGCACAGAGTCAGGCCCCAGGGTCCCGGGCCACAGGGGATGGCAGCTGGGGGTCTGGAGCCGTGGGTCAGGGCCCCGAGGGCAGGCAGGCTCAGGCAAGTGGAAGAAACACGGAGGCGGGCCAAGCTTCCTCCCAGCTTCAAACTCCTTACTGCCTGGGGGTCAAGGCTCCATCACCCAGGGCCCCAGGCACAGGCGGGTGGGGGTGCGTGGGGCGGGGACCGCATCTGGGGCTTACCCAGAAAGTCGGGCAGCTCGCCCTCCTCATCCTGCAGGGTGGCCACGTCATAGCTGGTGTTCTCCCGTTCATTCTAGGGGTGAGGCCAAGGTCTGGCTCGGGGTCCTGCCTCCCCTCCAGCCCCCATAGCCCCGCCAAAAATCTAGAGCGGATGGGGATGTTCACGTGTCTCTATGACTCCCCACAAGTATCAGACTGACTGTGTTTGGCCCACGAGTATTTATTGAGTGCCTACTGTGTGCCAGGGGCTATGCTGAGCTCCCAAGGGAGGGCAGGAAACAGCCCGGGGCTGCCCGAGTGTGTGACCAAAATCCTAAGGACCGCGGCTGGATGTCGTGCAGCCTGGGCACATGGGACTGAGGGAGGGATGGTGGGTGTCCTCGCGAGGGCGCGGCTGGGATTCTGAGCCTGGGTTACGTGGGGCTGAGGGCATCTGTGTTGTGTACGTGTAGATACGTTTGCCTAATTAAGTACGTTTGGAAATTTTCGTGTGTGCACGCGTGTTTGTGGGTGCGCTGTCTGTGCGTGATTGAATAAGTGTCAGTTGCATGCACGCAAGTATTGACGATGTGTGTGATTATGCACGCCCGGGTGCGTTTGCTGCGAGTTTGCCCGCTGGACATGTAAGACCACACGTATAGAGCGTGGCTGCCCACCTCTGTGCGTACGTGAGTGTGCGCTATGGTGTGTTATCTGTGTGTGACTGTATGTCTGCTGTGCTGGTATGTTGTGAGACTGGACGTGTGTTAGTGTGGCTGTCAGGCAGCTGCAACAGGAGAGGAGCCCCGCCCCTGGTGGCCCCACCCAGAGGCCCCACCCAGAAGCCCCGCCCTCTGGTCTCCTACCATTCCCCAGAGGCCCCTCTCCCAGGTCTCGGCCCCGCCCCCAGAGGCCCCGCCCCCAGGTGTCGGCCCCACCCCCAGAGGCCCCGCCCCCAGGTCTCAGCCCCACCCCAGAGGCCCCGCCCCCAGGTCTCAGCCCCACCCCAGAGGCTCCGCCCCCAGGTCTCCACCCCCTCCCCCAGAGGCCCCACCCCATGGTCTCCACCCTGCCCCAGGCCCTGCCCCTGTCCCCGCCCCCTTCCCCAGAGGCCCCGCCCATGTCCCCGCCCCCTTCCCCAGAGGCCCCGCCCACCTCGAGCAGGGACAGCCGGCTCTGCAGACTCTCCACCTCCCGGCCCAGACTCTCCTTCTCCTCCTGCTTCTCCGCCAGCAGCTGCTGCAGCTCCTGCACCTGGAGGAGGCCGGGAGGCTGAGCCCCCTCCAGGAGGAAGCAGGGCCGCTGCGGGCCGGCTCCCCCCCTCCGCCTACCTGTCTCTCCAGGCTGTGCAGGGAGCTGGCCTCCGCCTCCGGCAGCTGATGGAAGAAGCGGGCCGGGCTGGGGGCCGGGCGGGGGGTCTCCCCGGCCCACCTCTGGTCTAGCAGCCCTCCATCCCAACCACGGACGGCCACTCTGCTCCTCCTGTACACCCAGCACAGCTCGGCCCCCTTGCTCACAACTAAATATTGACTGAAGGCGATTTTGTGTCAGGCCTGGTTTGGGCCACTCATTCACTCATTCGTTTATTCACTCACTCGAATATTCGTTCACACGATAAATATTTATGAAGCGTCAACTGTGAGCCAGGCACCGTGGACCATGCCTGCCCCCGTGGGCTCACAGTGAAGTGAGTGAATTCGAATAGGACCCACGTGGTATGTCCAATAGCAGTAAGCACTTTGAATAAAAATAAAGGGGACTGGGAAGTGAGTGGAGGGGGCTACAGTTTTAAATAAGGTGGGCAGGGGAGGTGTCTTTCAACAAGGGGTCTTTGAGCAAAGACGGGAGGGAGGGAGCCATAGGGACCTCTGGGGGAAGGGGGTTCCAGGCAGAGGAACAGCACATGCAAAGGCCCTGAGGCAGGACCATGCCTGGCATGTTGGAGGAACAGTGAGGAGGCCCGTGCGGCTGGAGCAGAGGGAGCGAGGGGGAGAGAGGGAGGAAGGAGAGGTAGGGGGGTTCTTCCACCCAGAATTGCACCCCACCCCAGGCTGAGCCCCAGGCCCGGGCCTCTGCTGCCCCTCACCTCCTGCTTCCTCCGTTCCTGGTGCTGCTCCAGACCCCGGATCTTCTGTAGCAGGCGGCCCCTCTCCTGCCGCAGCCGCACGATCTCCTCGTAGGCGTCTCGATCATCCTGTTCCCCCCGCCCCAGGGACCCACCACCTTCAGATCAGGCCCACAGGCTGTCCCCTCCCACACCTGAGCCAGAGCTTCCTCCCCCTCCCGCCTCCCCCCACGGCCAGGGCACCTCTCACCGGCATAGGGATGCTGGCGGGGGGCTGAGGCGCCTTCCGCTTCTTGGTAGCCCCTCGCTTTTCACGGCTGGACACGGAGTTCTGGGGGGAGGGGGTGATGGGGGCACATGGGGGACGTGCCTGTCTCCCACCCAAATAAACCACCCCAGCCAGCCCACTCTGTGTCACCAGCCCCATCTCTGCCCTCACTTCCTGTGTGATCCTGAGCAAGTCCCTGCCTCTCTCTGGTCCTCACTTAACCCAGCATCAAAGAGGACGAGACCACATTCCAGAACTTCTGCTTTCCTCTCTGTCCCTCTCTGTCCCTTGGTACTTTCCCCAGACTGTCTACAAGTTTCCTTTTCCTGTGGAGCTGAGATGCTGCAGAGCTGGGAGAGGTAAAGGGGCCAGACCAGCCTCCTTCCCTGGCGACACCAGCCCTCACCAATCTCAATCCCCTCTCCCACCCCACCCCACCCCCTGCCCCATGATTTAGTCCCATCCCCCCAGCGTTGTCACCCAGTTCTAGGAGTTATGCTGTGGATGCTGCTGCCACTTGGTGGCAGCGTACCCTGAAGGTTGCCTTCTTCCCAAACAGGTCCTCCCGAGCCATAACCCTGGGGCAGGGGCCCATCTCTTCCTACAGATCTTGGGGCAAGGGGGAAGGTGGTGTGTGCACTGCTTAGGGATCCATACCTGAGATGACGCCTCTCCTGAGTCATCCTCTGGGAGGGCGGGGGAGAGAGGGAAGCAGGGTCAGGCACTCTGTTCTAGGGACTCCATTCTCAGCCTTACGAAGGGCACTAGCCAGCCCAGAGGGCTTGGGGGGGGGGGGGGAGAGCTCCCATTTCCCCAAGAATCAGGACTCTGAAGGCAGGAATCAACTACTTTGGCAGAATGCTGAAAGGAGGGACCTTGAAACTCTCAAAAAAGAAGATGGTGGCAGCTCCCGTATGCAGCGAGTGGGGCACCAGTTCTTAGGAAAAGTAAAGACCTGAGACTAAAGATGACCCAGGATAGGAGAGAGGATCCCTCGACTATTCGTAAGGCTCTGGGGCTCCTTGAAACAGTCCTGAGTAGGATCTGGGGAGCCATGAAACCTCCAAATAGGGATACCTTGAAACTATCCATCGTAGGGAGAGAAGGGGGAAAAGAAACCATCTACAAGGAGACGGAGGGGGTGCTACAAGTTGCTTAGAGACAGGGCTGGCATACCGCTGGGTGGTGAGGGGCGCCGGGCCGCCTCCTGCAGGAGGTGCAGGATGAGTTTGTCCCCCGCCAGGGCGCCGTAGTGAGCAGCATCCTGGCCCAGCGCATCGGTGATGCCCGGCTGAGCCCCGCCCTGCAGCAGCACCTCCACGGTTTCGGGGCTGGCCCCCTCACAGGCCAGCATCAGGGCTGTCCTGCCGGGAGAGGGGGCTCCTGAGAAGCTGAGGACATCCTTGAACCCCCACACCCTTCTCAACACCCAGGCTGGCCAACTGGATTCCCCTCCACCCAGAGAGGTTAAGAGACTCGGCCAAGGTCACACAGCACACGATGAACTGGCTGGGAGGAGAGATGCTCACCTGCCATGCAGGTCTTGGTCATTGGCGGCAGCCCCCTGCTGCAGGAGGAGGCGGCACAGATCTGTATGACACATCTGAGCTGCTATGATGAGGGGTGTTGTACCCAACTAGTGGGGGTTGGGGGAGGGATGAAACAAGGCATGAGAAGCTGACCCTGAGAGGTCGGGAAGCCTACAGGACTGCCCCTGAATTTCACCTCCAACTCTTCCACACTTTCCAAATGGTGGCTGAGATGCTGCCACTTGGTGACAGCGTACCTCAAGCACCATCTCTTTCCCAAAAAGATCCCAGAGGCTCACCCGATCTCGGGGATTCAGGTGTGCCTTGAAGGAACAGAGCATTTCTGAGCAGGCGATGCAGCCGCCAGCCGCTGGAAAAAGAGAGAAGTATTTATTGTGTACCTACAGTGTACCAAGAGAGTGTTAATGTTGACCAGAGGGGTCAGAACTCAGCTGAGGTTGGGAAGGCTTCTCAGGGTTCGATCTGAGTTCTGAGTTTTGAAGGTGAGGGAAGAGGGTAGAGGTCACCGCAGGGGCAGGGACCCTGAGGTGGGAAAGACCTTGGTGAGGTCAAGGAAGTGGGAGATGGCGGATCCGTCTAGAACTTCAAAGAAGGACGGGACTGGGGTCGCTGGAGAAGTCAACAAACTCTATCTGATTTCCTGCTGTGTGCCCGAGGGCGTATGGGATTTTCTTTGCCGCTGTAATCCCAACGCTTAGAACAGAGCCTGGCACCTAGCAGATACTCAATAAATATTTATTGAATGAAAAAAAAAAAAAAAAAAAAAACCAATGAGCTTCCACAGTGCGACCAAAGGCACCGCCGCCACTAGGTGGCAGCGTACTCCAGCTGCAAGGAATTTTTCAACAGTGAATAAAACTCTGAAACAGACTCATAATGGATTTTGAGTTCCCCAAAGGACAGACGTTTCTCGAGTCATCAGTGAAGGCCATTCCCGAATGTCATGGGCGCGGTGGACAGACCTTGGGCTGAGTTCTGGCTCAAGTGGGTGGGTCCCTTCCCCTCCCTCGAGGAGGGCGTTTGGACTTGATGAGTAGTAAGGGCACCCCGACCTTTGGCCTTTCTGAGATTCCTTGGGGGTTCCTCAAAGCAAGTTACACTCCAGTCGGTCGTCCCCTCATTGTCCCCACCCAGTGGTGGGCTGCGGTGGGCAGGGCGAGGCTGGGCTGCACCCACCTGCATGATGCAGGGCCGTCCACCCACTGCTGTCCACAGTGTCCACCACGCAGGACGCCTGGGGAGGGGGACAGGTCGTTGGAGGCGGACCCATCCCCTTCGTTGGCTCATTTCTCCAGGAACTGCTCCTCCTTGAGCTGTGCTGTCTTCTGGGCTCCCTGCCTCACCCCTGCCTCCCCTCCCACCTGTCTGCTCTGCAAGCCCGTCTCCTCACGGGCCCCTGAGGGACGCTCTGCTTTTATGACAGTTGGTGAGAAACAGGGAATAGCTGGGAGCTGAGGAGCAGCTGGCAGCTTGGGGAGTAGATGGGAGCTCTGAGAGCGGCTGTGGCTAAGAAAGTACCTGGGGTTTGGAGAGAAGCTGGGACTCAGGAAATCGCTGGTATCAGACATGTATCTTGGGTGTGGGAAGTATCTGGACACTTGGGGAGTATCTGGGTGTCCAAGGAGTAGCTGGGGCTCAGGAGTAAAGGGAGCCAAGGAACAGCTGGGATTCAGGGAGTATGTGGGGGTTCAAGGAATGGCTGGGACTCAGGAGTCGTCAGGGAAGGAGAGTATCTGGGGTTTGGGGAGCATCTGAGGTTTGGGGAGTATCTGGGGTTCGGGGAGCATCTGGGGTTCAGGGAGCATGTCGGGTTCGGAGAGTATCTGGGGTTCGGGGAGTATCTGAGTTTCGGGGAGTATCTTGGTTCAGGGAGTATCTGGGGTTTGGGGAGTATCTGGGGCTCGGGGAGTATCTCAGGTTTGGGGAGCATCTTGGTTCAGGGAGTATCTGCGGTTTGGGGAGTATCTGGGGTTCGGGGAGCACCTGGGGGTCAGGGAGCATCTGAGACAAGAAAGGCAATGACCTGCAGCAGCTGCTTCAAGCACTGCGGGTGCCCGTACTTGGCGGCCAGGTGGAGGGCATTGTAACCTGGAAGGGAGACAAGACTGACCAGGGCTCCACATGCCCAGGAGCTTCCGGCTGCGCCCCGAGCTGCCCTGTCAACTCTCTGTGACGAGTCTCCCGGCAGCTGGGAAGCCCCAAACCCCACGTCCTTCTCAAAACCGTGCCACTCCCTGTGGCCAGAGATTCTCCAAGCCCCGGCCAGCCTGTGTCCCAGACGACCTCATCTCAGCTGCTCCACGCCCACCCGCTCCTCAAGCCCTATGGTCCCAGCTACTCCCCACGTCCCCAGCTACTCCACACGCTTAACGACACTGAAGGGCCAGCTCTGTCCCTCAGAATCCACGGTTGTTCTATATGTTCCTGCTAATCCACACACCCCTGCTATTCCACGTGCCTGCTATGTCCGTCCGTGATACTCTACAGACCCCCAGCTACTCCGCACATCCTGGCTACTCTCTGTTATGCCCTCCCATCCCTAGTTACATCACACACCCAGATTCTCCTTTTGTCCCAGCTACTCCCAGAGCTCCAGCGACCTCTGAACCCCAGCTACTCCACGTCACTCAGATACTCCCCCGAACTCGATGCCATTCTCATGGCCCCAGATACTCCTTAAGCTCAGACACCCCGAGGTTCCAGCTACTTCCCCTGGTTCGGCCACTAGCTGAATCCCAGCTGCTCCCCTTCCACAAGCTGACTCACCTTGCTCAATGCCAACCCGGGTCTGTGTCCTTGGGCATCACAGCCTAACCGGCCCCTGTGCCACCCCGGGGGCACTGAAGGGAACCCCTTCCTCAGCAGGACACTGAGGGCTTGAAGCAGGGCCTGGCCGGGCAGCTGGTCTGAGTTCCTCCTCCCTCCCCAGGGGCCCGGCGGGCAGTACCTGCCCCGTCCGTGCTCATGACGTTGGCGCCGTGGGCCAGCATCACCTCCAGACAGCTGGCTGCACCCCTCATGGCCGCCAGGTGGAACCTGGAGGTCAGAGGCCAGGGGTCGGCCACAGGGTGGCCAACCCTGAGCTGTCACCCTCTACCCCCAGGGAGTGGGCACTCACGCGGACTTGCCCTCGGGGTCCAGCTTCGTGGGCACCAGCCCCTTACGGGTGATGAGGGCAGCCACCCGCGAGGCGTCGTTGTTTTCCACGGCCTGCAGCAACCGCTCGTCGCTTTTCCCCCAGTCCTGGCTCTGCGGGGGGGCACCCAGAGGAGCATGGGGCCGGGCCGCCGCCCCCTCCCCGCTCCCCCTGGCAGGGGCTGTGGGCTCTCCCCCCCGCCCCTGGGCACTTGCCTGGCACCTGCCTCTGGCTGCCGGCTTCGGGATGGGGCAGGGGCCGCAGGGCGGGCAGGAGCCGAGGTCGGGGGGGCCGAGCCGCAGCTGCGGGGGAGGTGGTCCTGGGTGGGGGGGCTGAGGCGGCGTCCCCAGGCCTGTGTCCCCAGGTCCACCGCCCCAGCTGGCCATCCAACACCCACTGCCAGCATCGGCCCCTAGCATCGTTCCCAAAAGTCCCCCCCCCCAGGTCGCCAGCCTGTTCCTGGGCAAAGAGCCACCTTCCCAACATGGCCCCATCACAGTGACCCACATCTTCCCCAACTACCCTCCAAAGCCTCCCCCCAGAAACCCTAAAAGGGTCCCTTCGAATGTCCCTCAGAAGGGCCTCTGCCATCTATCCTTCTACGGCCACCCTGAAATGCCACAATTGTCCCCAAAATGTCACAAGATCTGTTCCCCTACAGCCGTGGCCTGAAATATCTTCCAAAATGTCCTCGCCAAAGTCGCTAAGTGTTGCCCAAGTCACCCCCCCATAACCCCATCATCCATCCCAGAAATGTCCTCCCAAAACATCCTTCGAATGTCCTCCAAAATTGTTCTCCAAATGTTAATATCTGTAGCCAAAAATGTCGTCCCAATTGTCCCCAGAAAGGACCCCATCCCAAACTGTTCCCTGAAACTCTGTCTCTACATGTCCTATAAATTCTCCTGGGGGTCCCCATCTGTCCCGCAAACCGTCTCCCCAGATGCCCCCACGTCTCCCCAAATGTCCCATCCATCACCCATCTCCCCCATCTCTGGCCCCCCCTCGCCCCACGCCGCCTCCTCCCTGTTCATCCTTCCGGGGTCCGGGGGTGGGGGGTCCAGGCCCGCGCGGCTGGGGGCGGGGAGGGGGGAGGAAGGGCCCGCGCCCCGCCCGCCCGCTCGCTCGCGCGCCCCCCTCGCCGGCCCTACCGCGCAGGAGGCGGCGGCGCACAGACACAGCTGCTTCATGGCGTCCGGGGCGCCGGGAGCCGTCCGGGCGGAGGGGCCGCAGGGAGGGGCGCGCGCTGCCGGGGCTCGGTCGTCCTGCCCGCCCCGCCCGGAGGCCCCTCCCCCGCGCGCCCCGCCCGCCGCCCCCCCCCAGGCCGCCCCTCCCCCGCGGGTGGGGGGAGCGCCAGGGAGGGGGCTGGGCTGGCGGGGAGGAAAGAGGGTACCACCCCGGCCCCCCCTCACCTTCCCGCCACCACCTGGAGGATGCGCGGAAGGGTCTCCGGGGACCCGCCTGCGCCCAGGTGCGCCTCCTCCAGGCTGGCCGGGGGGTCGCAGGGGACTCGGAACCTGGACCCTCGAGAGAGAGAACCTCCCACCGCCGCTGGGCCTTGGTGTTCTCGCTCGCTCACTCATCCATTCATTCGTTCCCTCACCCGCTCATTCATTCTCTCGTCTCCAGTGAGGGGGGGGATCTGCGCGCTGACACGCCTGACTTCCAATCCGGGGCCCCGCCCTGCACCCCCCGCATGGACCACCGAAGTGACTCAGCCAAGATATTTACTTACCTGCTTTGGCCTCCACTTTCCTCATCCGGGAAATGGGTTTCCTAATAAACAGTACTAGGCACCAAGCACTCAACAGCACGGTGCCTGGTGCACAGTACCCGCGCCAGACACACGGATTCATTCATCAGCGAGAGATGTGGCGGGGCCCGGGTCCATGTGGAATGCTGAGTCCCGGGGACTCGGGATGGCATAGATGCTCCATGGAAGCACGGAGGCAAGGAGGGGACAGGGCTCCTCCACGGGGCTGCGTTCCGCTGGCTCTTTTCTCAGACTGGGAGCCCCTCCCGCGCAGGGCCGGGCTGAGGCCTCCCCGGGACAGGGCCTGGCTCCCCAGGGTGGGGCGGGACAGCCTGGAAATGTTCCCGAGTTAAGGAAGGACTCAGCAGGCCAAGCCCCCGGAGCATGTGAATTTCACGCATTCAGTCCATTTGTCCCCTGGGGTGCCCGGCACTGCAAAGACAGCTGTCCTTGCTATCACTGAGGTCCCCAGGGAGACAGACACACCCACGGGCTTAAGAACCAGGGTGTCACTGGGGAAGCCCAGGTGAGCCGGGAGCTCCACTCCTGACACTATCTGGGCAGTCAGGGAGGGCTTCCTGGAGGAGAGGACATCTGAGCCTGAACGTGAAGGATGGGTGGGAGTCAGGGGGTGGCAGGGACAGGATCGCGTTCAGGAGAAACCGTGAAATCACCGCTCCCCTGGTTGCCTCTGCCCTGCTCCAGGACTTGGTGGGGGGCGGGAGGCCCACTTAAAGGGGGGGCAGAGGAGGAGGCGCTGGCAAAGGAGACCGAGGAGGGGTGTCTCAGGAAGTGGGGGGAACCAAGAGTGTGGGGCATCAGGGGAGCCATGGAAGGTCGCAAAAGCTGGGGAAGTCCGCTGTGTTGACGTGGCTGCAAATTCACAACGGGGCCAGCAGAAGGGGGAAGGCGGGATTCCAGGAGAGAGAAGCGATGAGGGAAGAGACAGGCCTTCCAGAACGTGAATTTAGGAGCAGTGACTGCAGACAGGCGGAGGAGTTTGAATCCAGCTTGGTCACGTTATATCTGCTGTGTGACCTTGGGCCAGTCACTCTCCCTCTCTGAGCCTCAATCCCCCAACTGCTAAATGGGATGGATAATGCAACAGACACCACAGAGCTGGGTTCCTCCCCTCTGGGACGGCAGACACGGGTCGGGTCATTCTCTGGGGGGCCATCCTGGACACTGTGAGGGGTTTAGCAGCATCCCTGGCCCCCACCCACTCGACGCCAGCAGCACCCCCAGTGTGACAACCACAAATGTCCCCAGATACCGCCCTGGGTCCCCTGGGGGGCAGAATTGCGCCACCATGTGGAGAACCACTGGCTTAGGGTGGGTGGTGCGAGAATTTCCAGCTGCCCTTGGCCTGTCGTCCGGGGTGCCCTGCACGTTCAGACCCAACGCCCGTGGAGGCCGCGTGCAACGCGCCACAGACACCGCCGTCCCCAGGGGCTCGGGCCAAGTTGTGGCCCCATCTGCCTGCTGCCTCTCACCCCAACCCCACTCCACCAGCCAGCCCCAGTGGCTGTACCATTCCAGGTTCCCCCCTTCTCGTCCCTGGTGGCCCCACCCCGGGGTCCCCTGGAGGACACCTCCTCCCTGCTCTCCCGGCTTCTGCCCTTGTTCCCTTCTGCCAGCTGCCAGTCCCTGAGGCCGAATCCCGCCCCCAACGGCTGGTCTTGTCCGGCTCAAAAGCTAAGGACGGTTTTTACATTTATATGTGGTGGTGGGAAAAAATCAAGAGAGACTATTTCCTGACACGTGACAATCGTGAAATTCCCGTTTCCGCGTCTATAAATCGTGTTCCCGGGGCGGAGCCTGGCCCATCCGCGTACAGCCGGCTCCAGCTGCTCCAAGCCGCGGTGACAGAATTGAGGCCAGAGGTTCCTGCGGAGCTGGAAATCTTTACTGCTCCGCCCTTTGCAGGAAAAATGTGCCCGTCCCTGCCCGGAACAGCCTCCCTGGTGGAGGCTCTCGGCTCGTCTTGACGTCGTCATCGTCCCACACATGAACCCCAGCGTATAAGGGGTTAAAACCAAACGTCCCCGTCCCCTTGCACCTCTTCTCGAACCATATTTCCCCGTGGGCATCGGTTTCTCTCACCCCTGTACTCGGAGTTTCACAGATGCACGAAACTAGCGTGGAGCTCAGCGCCCTGACCGCCCTCTGGTGCCACGCACGCACGCAGAAGTGATTTAAGACAATCGCTAAAACCCAGGTGGCCTCACACCGAAGTCCTGGCTAGTTATGGGGCCTCGAAGTCCTTTTGCAGGAAAACAGATGTCCAGAGAAGACCAAGGGGCTGAAGCTTCCCAGACCCCAGCTCCTCCTGGTGCCCAAAGTCCGCCGTCCATCACGGAGGCAGACGGCCGAGGACACCCACCTGCAGATCCCCTGATGTCGCCACCCGTCTCCTGGCAGGTGGTCACATTCCTGACAACCTTTAACCCCTCTGCCTCCCATCCTTTGGGGTGACAGATCTGAGTGTTTACTCCCGCCTCCCGAACCCCTGGTTGCTTCGGAAGAAAGCATCTCCGAATAGCGACGTCTACATCCGTCGGACAGCTGAGTGCTCATTGGGGTACCCAACCGGGGACGGGGGTGGGTGGGGAACACCCATCTCAATTTGGGAGACTCTGAGCTAATTTCCACTTGTTTGGGACAGACAAGCCCTGGCCCCTGGCGAGAACCGGCAGCTTCTGGCTGTTTCTGACACTCCCAGGCTCGTGGGTAAGAACTGCGGTTTGGCACTTTGGGTTTTTGTACTCAGTGGGGGTGGAGCTATGGGATAGGGAAGTTCCACCCCCAAGATCAGCCCCACCCACTGCTGCCGTCTCCAAAACCAGCCCAATTACAGGGACAGCCCCACGAGAGGAAGGAAAATGAACCCAGCTTGGCCCCCGCATCCCTCAGGATCAGGCCAAGTCTGGCCCCCAAGTGGGCCCCTGAGTTATAATATTATTTTGCACTTAGATTTGTCTTGTCGATGGACGGGGAAGGGGACGGAATTCCCTGCTGTCGAGTCTTTTAGGGTCCTCAAGCAGAAGGAGCTTGATCGACCTGGATGTAAAATCTTGGCAGGACAATTTGAGGCCTCGAAAAGAACAGGCGATGAGTCTTCCGAAGAAAAGGGTCCTATGTTGCCATCAGAAGAAGACCCTTCTGGGGACGATTTGTCACCAGGAACCCAGGGCTCTGGCCCCATCAATGACCCTGACCCTCGTGATGGCCAATCGCTCCGTATCTGCCTCAACCCTGGCCACTCTGGCTACAAGGGCGATGACCCCGAACCCGTCATGCTCTCTAAATAATCTCTTTTTGGGTCCTGGTGGTCCTCCTCCCTGTGGATCCAGGACCCCTACTTCACCAATTCCTGCCCCTCTTCCAATACACCCCTCCCTCTGTGCTTCCTCAGACCACTCCCTGGAGAAACCGGGAGATGTGGTTCTCTCCTTCTCGCACCCAACAGGGCATCCAGTTCAGTTGGGGACCATCCATATCCCCTGCAGGACCATTTCCATTAAGACAGTCCCCACAGGGGGCCTAGATGAAGATGGACGCCCCACTGGACTAATGCAGCCTGTCAGCCTCTTTACCACCACTTTTCTTTTTTCTTTTCTTTTTTTTTTTTGGTGAGGAAGATTGGCCCTGAGCTACCATCTGTGCCCATCTTCCTCCACTTTATATGCGGGTCACTGCCACAGCATAGCTGATGAGCGGCGTGTGGGTCCACACCCAGGATCCGAACCCGTGAACCCAGGCCGCCGAAGCGGAGCGTCCCAGACTTACGCCTCCGGGCCGCACCCTCGAGATTGTATCTTAATGGGTCTCAGGAAAGGGGCCCCAAAGATTAAAAACCTAAATAAAGTGCAAGAAATTAGACACGGGGCAGATGAAAACCCTTCCACCTTCCTGGAACGCATCTTTGAAGCCCAGGGAAAATATACAGAGTTGGACCCCAAGAGTCCGGAAAATTCTAGAAGAATGAATATGACCTTTCTTGGCCAGAGCGTGCCTGATATCCAACAAGAGTGACAGAAATCAAAAGGCGCCCTACCTGCCTATTTCCCACTCGGTGGAGGTGGCTTATAAGGTTTTTGTTCTCAAGAACACCCTAAAGAACAGCAAAATGAAAGGAAAAGAGGGCAAGAAGTGAAACAGCAGCCAAATTCCTAGCTGCCACTTTGACTAACGATCAGAGGGGTCTGCTG